ATGGAGGAAGTACGTAGAAAGAAGTTGTATGTTTTAGATAATTTAGCGTTTTTTTTTAAAAGTCGAAAGTGCGCTCAACCCGATTGTACCTTTTTTGTGCAGTGTTGGCTGCATGGTTCAGATTGAAGTATCCTCATGTGGCTATAGGGGCTTTAGCATCCTCAGCTCCTATGAGATGATTGCACCTTGTTGGTAACACTACATCTTCCCAGCAAGAAAACGGATGCGCGGCACCTATCTTTGCGTCCATTGATGTGATGCTCGGTTGAACGTGTGAATGAGGATTGACCGATCGCAAGTTCCACTCATCTCAGTCCTTCACCTCTGGATGAATAAAGAACTAATCAGGAATGAGAGAGAACTGCTTAGGTCGAAAGTCCGTAAGATGTCGAATTATCGACCCTTTACATAGGGGGAAAGTGGTCTCCCCCTACCAATAACTGATAGGGAAGAGGCGTCTAGTGAACATAGTATACACACGTACTATAACAACAGGGCAGGCGAAGCAGATCAAGCGGGGGATTGGCACACCTATCCTTTCTCGAATGAGGATCGTTTGCGGGGTCGGTCCCAGGAGGCCTAAATGCTGTCCTTCGTGTCCCTCGTTGGGTTCGGATGACTTCCTTTCAATTTCAAATAGGAAAATTTATACGAAAAGTTCCTTCTAATGATAAAGAATGAGGGACACATTGACTCATAGAAAAGGATATCAATCCCCCATTGCATATTGGTACTTATCGAGTATAGAATAAATCTGCTTCTCTTTGTTCCTACGAGGAGCTCGTTTGGCTGCAAAATTTCCTGGATGAGCTTGGGAGGTCTCGGGAGGATGTGGCTCTATACAGTGATAGCCAGAGTGCACGGCCCCACAATCAAATTGACCCTTACTTTCCATTCCATTCAAGAAAGATAAAAAAAGAATCGGGGGTGGGTCATCAAATTGCCAACCTTCCTTTCTGAAGAGTTAAAAAAATACTATGATGGCCCCGTTGCTTTCTATTTGAAAGCGGATTCTTTTTTTTTTTTTTCTTTGATGCAGCAATCCCAAAGTTTCTTCAAAATCGAGAATTTTGCAATCAAAATATTTTCTATCGCCCGTTTTTTCCCCTCCTAGATTATTCTATATTTTGACAACATTACTTCGCCGTATAGTTACAACGATGTCATCACCAAAGATTTTCGGGTCGTTCCTTTTTCCTTTTATTTATTTTTTCACTATAGTTCCTTCTTATTCTTTTACAAGA